TTTTCTTGGTTACGAATCAAAAATTTTTTGAATTCAAATTCAAATAATAATAAAAAAAACATTGCAATACTTAAATGATAATGAAGGGAGTGTGTGTCGTGTGTTTATATTTTTTGGTTGGTTGCTGGTGATAAAAATATAATGAATATTTATATTACCTAATAACTTTTCTTGCTAGCCACAATATTTTTCATTTATTTTTCGATGATGATGATGATGATAATTCAAAGATCAAATCATATTTACCATCTATTAATCATTATAATACGCTATTTAGAAGAAGAAAAAAAATGAAATGTAATGGACATCGTGATGATAATGATGATGATGATGATGATATGAAAAACATTCGTTCGGAAAATCCTATTCTATTCTATTCAATCTTTTCAAATGATGATGATGATAATAATGATAATTATCATTACCATTATTATCAATAATTTTTCATACAAACACGATTTCTTTTTTTTTAAAAAAAGCCAGATTTTTAAATAGCCTAAAAAAATATAGATTATATGCAAATATTATTATTTTCATATAAATAGTTTTCTCACTTTGATTTTTGTTTTTGTTTTTTTTTTTTGTTTTTGTTTTTTTGGTTATTATTGCTGTTGTTTTGGGGCAACCAGAATACCCACAAACACACACACACACACGATATGATAATAACACGGTGGAAAAAAACGAAGGGAAAAAAACCTGATTAATCAAGTTTGTTCGGTCGTTGTTGTTGTTCGTTGTTCAATTCGATCAAAGAATTTTTTTTTCAATCATCATTTAAATTATACAAACAGCAGCCTTCCCCCCAATCATACACAAAAATATTACATCCCCCTTCACTACACTAACGAATTACATTTTGTTTATATCAGTGTTTTTCAGTTTTTCTTCCATCCAATATTTCATTCGATATCACTATCATTGAACAAACTTTTTTTCTGGGCGACATTCATTCATTCATATGTCAACTTGTCAATCATAAACTCGACAAAAGAAGGAAGAAAAATAGGATCTGATTATTTCAAACTACCAAACTACAAAAAAAAACAAACCAACCAACCAAATATAAATATGAGATATATACTTGACTTGAATAGAATGCTTCTGAAATGAAAATGATTCTGATATCGTTACTAATAATACTCGACAAGTAGCAAAAAAGCGATTGTCATAGTGTGAAATGCAAAACAAAACAAAACAAAAAAAGAAACGAAAAACCCTTTTGTAATCATTCGTTCGTCAATTCGGTTTATCAAAAATATCGATTGTTTTTTTCTTTTTTCTTGGTGGTAGGCAAGCAATCAACAAAGCAAGAAAAGAAAAACATTGATAACGACAATAACAATAAAAAAAATGAAANAAAAAAAAAAAAAAAAAACTCATTTGGGCAGGTGTAGTCTATTTTTTTTTTAACAAAGAAAAGAGAAAAAAGAAAAAAATTAAGATATCTTATCTGATGGATTGGAAATCCTGAAGAAATTCTATGTGAAATGATGAAATGGACCAAGCGTAAATGTGAGGTTTCGGTGAAAAATATCCTACTGGCTTGTAAAAACATAAAAAATACTACTTCACGATTTAAAGTCAAAAAACAGACTAATCAATTTTTATTCATTTTTTTTTAAATATTTTAAATTAATTCTTTTCATAAAGGACGTTATATTTTTTACATCCATTTACATCCCCTTGCTTTTAAAAGAATGTTGGGGAATTAATTTATATATATTTAGATATTTGTATGTTAAATGTATTATTTTGATTATTGATAACTGAATTTTTTTTTTATAATTAAATGATTATCTAATTTACTTATGATAAACTGATTAATTTTTTTTTTTATAATTAAATGATTATCTAATTTACTAATGATAAACTGATTAATTTTTTTTTTTTTTTTTTTTTTTTTTTTTTTTTTTTTTTTTTTTTTAA